GGGGGGGGGGTTTGGTGATTTTTTTTCCGGCTGGAACAGATTAATTGCATTTCAATGCATTCCTATGAGAAATGGTGCTTCAACGTACGACCATTTTGAGTTACGACTGGACTTCCAGAACCAATAAAGTTCGTAAGTCGAGGCACCACTGTACAACTGCAATTCTGTTACATACAAAATACCTCTTTATTGACATATGTAAAACATTTACCAGAATGAGTTCCAAACCTTTTGATACTTTCCAGGACAGTCATTGTAAACATTTTGCCTTTCTCAAAAATGTTATGCATCACTGAAATATCACATTTTACAGAGAAAGTTGACAGTATAGGGAGGAAAGAAAGGGGTCAGGGTGAGAATTATTAGGACACAGAAAACAGAGAGCAAATGATTTAAGTGTAAGTGAAAGTTTTAAAATGTGAAGGCCTATGCAAAGGGATGAAGTAAATCAATGAAATATACTTGTCAATGAAGCAGCGCACATACGAGTGTAACAAAGAGGTGAATAAGGTGAAAGCAGCCCCTTGAGGCCATATTTGTGGCTCCCAGCCTTCCTTGGCTTCCTCTTTTTCTAGCAAAAAAAGGGTGAAATGCCACTCCTGGCAGTTCACCTTTCAAAAAAGCTGTAGTGGCTCTTGCACCATTTAACAGAAACTTATACACATTTTTCAAAACTGGGAGTGAAATTCTACCCACTTCTATTTTCATTTTTAATGGGTTTTGGATTTCTTGCGGTTATTGTGGCTTGTAGAGAGTCACCGGAACAGAAAATTGGCCCATCGACCACCAAAGTTGCTCATTCATTGGTTTCAAAAAGTAGCTCCTTGTTTTTTTTACAGCTATGCCCATCCCGGGCCCTTTACCAATGTATATTATGAATTACTCCTTTGGATGAAGCTATACATCTGGCCACTATATAAGTTTTATCTATTGTACAAGATAGGGTAATTGACTAAAACCCTGGTCCCTCAGGTGTTTTTGAACTAAAATTTCCCAAAGTCTTCACCAAGTCCAAGAACATCTTGAGACCCAAAGTTGGGAAGCACTGACTAGACAAACAACAGGGATCTACCACGGTCTGCCAAAATATTAAAAAACAACCTGCAATGTTTTCATAAGAGCATTTCAGTTGAAATGAAAATGATCTAGAGATACTCATTTCAGACCAATATGCAAATACGTATGTGTGATGCAATCTCAATCAATTTTCAGTTTGGTTGTTGTGGGTTTTTCGGGCTCTTTGGCCGTGTTGTGAAGGTTGTTCTTCCTAACATTTTGTCAGTCTCTGTGGCTGGCATCTTCAGAGGACAGTTTCTCAAGGGACAACTGTATTCTCAAAGCCCATGCAAATCTCCACACATTCACTCCTAGATTCTGTATGTTACCAAGACTTAAAAGTTAAATCCAAAGCTCATGCCAAAGAAGCACAATTCACTAAAATTTTGTTGTGCTTCTGTTATGAGGATTAGGCACAATCTTCACAAAGGTGCAAGTGCTAAACACACAATAGACATGCTAAGAAGTTCGGAAGCAAAAGAAGCAAAAAGTATCAGTACATAGGCAAAAGTGGGGTGCTGGAAATAACTTGTCAAGGCATAGGCTTCCAACTCTAAAGACCTGGGTTTTGCAGTCAGCAGGCATACCGTACATTCTCTGTACCCCCACCTTGCCTTCTCCTACTGGAAGGGCAAAGATGGACATTTTGTCTATTATTTTGGAATGTACATTCATTTGTCCCCAATCAATTTGATTGATATGGGGTAGTTAATAGGTCGTATTGCTTATTAATGCTTTGCTAAAGATTTGTAGAGATGTCCTGAATGCTGGATTGGATATGAATGAGGCGAACATAGGAAAGACCCAAAATTAATTAAATAAGTGATTAATAGATCCATTTACACATGATAATTACTGCAATCCAAGCAATTGGATATGCAAATCAAGCATGCACTTTGCACCCAGCAGTTTCTTGTAAACTGTGTTCCAAGAGAGGAGATTCTACCCCCCCCCCACACTTCATGGAAAATGAAAAACAGGAGAAAATAAGAATGAAAAAAATGGGAAGAAGGAAGTAAGGAAGATTTGTACTGCCCATGTTTATCAAGGGCTAAAGCTGGCTGTCATAGGCAAAGCACATTTTCCTACTTAATACCCTGCATTTGGGCACCTATCAAATCTTGCTGAACGGAATCCCTCTGGGATCTGGACTCAATGGATCTGGTAGTAAGACTATAAGCCACCATCCCAAATTATCATCTTAATTCACACATTTTATATTTAGATATGAGTGTAACAGCTCCAGGGTAAACTGCTCGCCCAAAAAACTTATGGCAGGGTTCCAATTATCCTCTTCTTGAAAGGGGCAAGAGACTTCTGTTGGTATTATCAACTGCAACCTTCCTCCACTAAAAGGGTCATAACTTTAGCAACCTGTTGTCTTACAAAGTCATCCATCACAATTCAGTCCTATCAATCAGCTTAACAGTTTGAAGTATCAGCTACAAGATTCACTACAAAACCAACAGTGTTTTCACAAAGGGGATCCCAGGAAGCAATGGGGAGAAATTAGCGGACAGTTTGCTTAATGAAGAAATGTAAGAGATGGGGTAAAATCAGTGCTTTTCCACTTGTCTCAATGACCTAGAGTTAGAGAGAACAGTATGGTAGACAAGTTTGTCAAGATATTGTAAATG